CACTGAAGCGACTTATTTATGGATTTTTTCCCATATTTATAAACCAATTTTTGGCTGATATGACCATTTTAATTAATTCTGACTAAAAATATTGAACACTACCATTTTTAGACGCTAAATGGCACGCGAGTAGTAAGGCATGCCGTTGTGTCATGTAATAGGTAAAAGTGGCTATAATGACACAGTCAGCTTGCCATAGTTTGCCACCTTCGTCCAGCTCACCTGGAGAAACCGTCAAATCAGCTTCATTTCACTGAGCCGCCCAGGCAAAATGCAGCTAATTTCACCAATGAAGTGCATTTATTAAGTAAAAGTTCAACTGAGACACACTTTACTATAAAGTCAAGCAAACAAATAATTGTTTTAGGTGCTTATCTTTTTAAATTCTTGTTAAAGTCCTCCTGTGCACACTCTCACGGCTGCCATTTGACAGCCAATCGATTTTTGTCACAACACCGGCCCACATTTCCAGGTTGTCAGTGGTGACGCATAATAGATGCAACGTATACTATGGAAAACACGGTACATGCTGTATTAAAAACAAAGTTCCTCCAGTTGTCTGTGTTACATAAAACCATATTTGACTTCTTGCATGTTCATCCCTCATTAATAAACAATGACTTATTGTGGCACATTTGAAGTATATTGACATTAATTTCACTGTAAGTCATGAAACTTATTTTAATTCTGTTTTTAGGGGGACAGACAGGTGGCACGTGCACAACATTCTCACTTAATTTGATATAAGCCTTCTGTGTTCATCTTCAGCCTTCTTTAGACAGCAGATGAAAGCAGCTCCTCTCCACTTCTATTCAGAGCTCTGCTTTTAATTGGCAACAGCTGTCCTTTCCAAACTCAGTGATACAACATGCTGCTAAAAAAAAGCATCAGTTTCACAATTAGACACACACGTGTGGCTCTCTGTGCAAACCAGGCCTGACAGTACACAACAGTTTTCTGTGCATGTGTTAAGGACATAGATCAGAACTCATTACTGAGTCTCAGTTTTTGGTGTTCAACTTGTTTTTTTTTAACACAGAGGAAACTTCCATGTAACGCACTTCATAACACCAGCAGAGAGCAGCAAAGGCTACAGTACTCTATTATGGAGCTTTGGCTTCATAAACTTTGCAAATACAATTTTATTTTGTACCAAATTCAACAAACTTTAGTGTAAAACACTTTAAATGTTTACTTTTTATTACTGGTAATCTCTTTAGTAACTTCCAAGTACATATCTTTTTTGAAACACGCCAAGAGAAGTATTTAAAAATGTGTCCTGAGGGCATGAAAAGCACGCTAATCACACAGATAAGAACAAGTAAAAACTACTACAGTACCAGGGGAAGTCTTCTTATTCTAAACATCTGAGTTTCACAGACTTGTGAAAAGATGTTGTGAGCATTTACAAAGTTTTTACAATTTTTACAGATAAAACAACTTGACAACAAAGTTCTACTAACCTTTAAATGAGACTGTTGCACACGTCTCATACCAATGTGCTCGTATCATTAAAGCACTGCTGTTTTTCTGTAACTCAAGACAAGCTTGCATTTTAAAGGTGCCACTGAAGCAGCCTTTTTATTATCCGGCTGGTATTCTTTTGTTCATATTACACCAGCTTTGAATGAAACGAGTGAGAACACCGAGCCCTCCTTGGAGCTGTACAGCTCCGGCTGTATAGTTTTACAGTGGAAACATGATTTAAAGTTGAAACGAGGTCACAGAAAGTTGGACTTTACATGACTGAACTGAGGCAGCATGGTGGCGCAACTGGTAGAGCTGCTGCCTCTCAGCGAGCAGGTCCCTGGTTCAAACCCCGGTCCAGGGGCCTTTCTGGGTGGAGTTTGCATGTTCTCTCCGTGCATGCGTGGGTTTTCTCCGGGTACTCCGGTTTCCTCCCACAGTCCAAAAACATGCATGTTAGGCTGATTGGTAACTCTAAATTGTCCCTAGGTGTGAGTGAGAGAGTGAATGGTTGTTTGTCTCGTTTGTCTCTATGCGGCCCTGTGATGGACTTGCGACCCGTCCAGGGTGTACCCCGCCCCTCGCACAGTGATTGCTGGACATGGGCACCAGCGACCCCCGTGACCCAAAATGGAATAAGCGGGTAAAGAAAATGGATGGATGGATGGATGGATGGATGACTGAACTGGCATTTTAACATCCTTAATGATTTTTACATGATCACAGTTTATGTTTTATGAATTTTGAAAGTGTTTTTGAGAGTTTCATGATTAAAGTGTGACATCTTTTGAAAGTTTTGCCAACAAAATCTTATTTTTACAAACTTTACACTTAGAGAACAAAGTCCATGCTCAATACATATGCAGTGACTGTTTGTCTGAGGTTTCCTTTCTAGTCTGTGTTTCTGTCTGTCTTATTAGATGTGCTGTCAGGGAGTGAGAGACACAGGTGAGTGGTTGCCATGGTGACTCTAATGAATCGGTGGTAGCAGCTTTTTCATTTCTTTTGCATCTGTTTGTTTTTATCCTTCTCATAGTTCATACGCCACCGTATTATACAGCTAAATGTTGACTTTTTCTCCAGGAGACGTATTTTCATCAAGCTTGCACTATGCTACAACAAGAACAAACCCGAAAGATGTACCATACCATTTTATTTATAGAGCACTTAAAACAGCTACAAGGCCAACCAAAGTGCTGTACAGACAGAACAACAGACAACACACGAAGCAAAATACAAAATGAGGTAAATCAGAATATAGACATAAAATCGATGCAGATAATAAATATGACGACAAACCAGTGTGGAGCGTACAGGTTCAAAACACAGATCATCTGGTGTTGAAAGCTACTGAATAGTAGTGAATTTTTAAACGGGATTTGAAAATCGAGAGGGAGGGGGCCAGTCTGACAAGCAGAGGTAACTCATTCCAAAGTCTTGGTCCTGCTACAGAGAAGGCCCTGTCACCTCTGCGCTTAAGACGAGTTCCTGGAACTGTGAGGAGCAATTGGTCCGCTAACCTCAGGGAACGTGGTGGGACATACGGTTGTAGCAGACCAGAGAGATTGGGGGGGTGGGGGGTGGGGGGGGGACTGTTCAGCGATTTGTAGACATGCAGGCGTATTTTGAACTGGATTCGAAGGTGAACCGGTAACCAGTGCAGTGAGGCCAAAACTGGTGTAATGTGCTCTCTTTTGCCTGTACTGGTTAAAAATTGGGCTGCTGCATTCTGGACCAGTTGTAGTCGTGCAATGGAGGTCTGACTGATTCCAAACAGGAGTGAATTGCAGTAATCAATCCTAGATGTAATGAATGCGTGTATTACTGTCTCCAGGTTATTTTTGGACAATATGGGCTTCAGTTTAGACAGCTGCCTCAGTTGGAAGAAGCATGATTTAACCATCATGTTTACATGATTGTTAAGTTTCAGGGAAGGGTCCATTATCACTCCCAGATTAGTGACTCTTTGTTTTTCTGACAGGGATAGAGTGGAAAGGTCGATACAGTGGTTTGTGATCGTGTTGTTGGGAGGGAACAACATGACTTCAGACTTCTTTTCATTGAAACTTAAGAAGTTTAAAGCCATCCAGTCCCTGATGTCAGCCAGGCAGTCGAGCAGAGGTTGAATAGAGCATGTACCATTGTGTCTTAGGGGGAAGTAAATTTGATGTCTTTCTGATTATTAGTGTTATAGACTATTTATTTTCCAATTCTCTATACGGCCCTTCGATTACATTGAATGACTTGGCCCTCTGGAGAATAAATGGTGCCCACCCCTGATCCACTCTCACTATGTGACAACTTAACGTCAGTGGACTACAGTTATTACCCACAAGCTGTCAGATTACTGAACTCTTGATAATAATACTGAACAATCGACAATAACATATTGCACTAAACCACATCTGTGACGCCTAATATGTTTATTGCTGCTGCACTATGTGGCTGTATCATGTATGTCACTACCATCATAATTCATCTCAATGTATTTATTAGCCTTTATTTAACCAGGCAAATCCCACTGAGATCTCAGATCTCTTTTGTAAGGGAGGCCTGAAGACAGTCTAACATGCATGTTTTTGGTCTGTGGGAGGAAACCAGAGTAACCGGAGAAAACCGACGCAAGCATGAGAAGAACATGCAAACTCCACACAGAAACACCCCAGGTCCAACCGGGGATTGAACCCAGGACCTTCTTGCTGTGAGGCAACAACGCTAACCACTGAGCCGTCGTTATGCCACCTGTGCAATAACCTGTCACACAACTTGTGTATGTAGTTAATGTTAGTTATGAACAATATATATCATGTGCATTTATGTTAATATTACTACCTTGAAATATTTATACTAATTCGTCCTACTTGCACCGTTATATTCTACCATGCTGTTGTTTACTATTTTTTTCTTTTCTTTTGGACCTTGTAAATATTGTATTTACTTTTTCACTTTTTGGTGCTTTTTTTTGGGTACCCTTGTTGAATGTTTTTTTTTTTTTTTTTTTTTTTAAGTGAGTCAAATCAGTTTTTCTCATCCTGAACATTTCATGTTAACCTGCATATGACAAATAAACAATACGTGTTTGGTCTGTGGGAGAAAAACCTACAAGCGACCAGGGAGAACATGCAAACTCCACTCAGAAACACCGAGAGTCGAACCTGCAGCCTTCTTGCACAGGCAACAGCTTCAACCACTGCTCCACCGTGCCACCCCCAATAGAAATTCAAGATGTTGCTTATAAATCTTTTAGTCCTGATACACAAGCATTTGATAGTTATATTAAAAATAATTTAATTAGTTTGAACTCAGCCCTTATCAGACAGTTTGTCAGCATGTCTAGTTATAGATGAAAGCTGGTTTCAGGCAGTTTATTACCAGTTTCCAGAGTTGTCTGGATGCTGGTGTGTTCTGCTGAGACCAGTGGGGGTTGTGTCGGGGTCTCGCGCTAGGTGGCGTCTCTCCCTCAGCTCTGCCTCGATCCCGTTCCGCCTTTTTTACTTTTCCAGCATCGCTCGCTCCTGCAGGACTTCACTTCTCAAACTCAAAGTCGTGACTGAAGGAGGAAGAAGCAGCTCGGAGGGTCCAGGGTCCCGCCGCCCCCCAGGAAACAAGAGGAAGTTACCTGTTGATGAGGTCGTGCATTCAGAGAAGTGAAGCGTGAACAAAGGTGACTCTCCGGTGGACAGGGGGAGTGAAGGACCCAGGTTTTAATCCACCCCCCCAGCAGCAGCAGACCTGTTGGAGGACAGAATGGACACTCCGACCTCTTGGAGACTTATTTTGATCCTCACGTGCCAGCTGGTTTCTGTAAGTGAGCTCTTTCTTTTCTCCTTCAAACTCGTCGCTGCGCTGTTATTAGTGAATAAAACAATATTCACCACCACGCAGGTCCTTTCTGTCCCGTTGCCTCAAACTCAATCCTGTTTTTCACTTCTTTCCTTCTGCAGGTGAGCAGTTCAAACACATTCACTTTGAACCAGAAAGATGCGTTTAGGGGTAATTTGACAAACCAGGAGCTGCTGTTGAAGGGCTAAGTTTGTCCATAGGAACAAGCTATTCATAGTACTTTGTCAGGCTGCACTCAGCATGTTGAAACCACTGGACAAACTTTAACGTAGTTTACAGCCTCATGTAGAGAGTTTTCAGTGGGCTTTGACTTGAAGTTAAACACCTTCAAAACAATAGATTTGTTTGTTTTAACTAGAGGAAAAAGTTTTGACTTGCAGTTTCAATAATGAAGTAATTGTGCTTGAATGTCCTGCACTCTTCTCTTCCATTGAACGCCTCTCTTGGATTATAGCTAGTTTCATAAAGTTCTTATGTTTTTTTGTTTTATTACTTGTTTGTCCAACATGCTACTGTAGCTTGTGATCATCTTTATCGCTGTTAAACACTTTCTTACCATGGGCACATTAACTGCACAAGTTGCAGCTTTTTGCCCAAACCTGAAAACAAACAAACAACAAGACTGTTTTTACCCCAATTTGTACTCAAGTATAAATAACTAGGAAAACTTGTTAATTCTATAAATATAACATCACACCCAGCTTATAGTGCTCATGCACTGTCCAGTGTAAGGAAGCTGCTGTCTTCACTCGTCTATATCTGCTGTATGAATCATATACGTAGCATATGATTGGGAATAAACTGCCCCCTCCCAGTCTTTATAAATCCTGTCTGGTGTCTCAACCTTTATGTCCTCTTATAATAAGAGCCGTCATGCTTGAGGTATCTGTGACACCGCTGCGCCGATTCGATTTGAAGATAAGCCTTTCTGCATGATGGGACAGAACACACAAACCTTTCACGTGCCCAATCCAAAGTACACAATAGCAGGTATGCTTAACATGTGGAGCACTATAGTATTAAACTTTACGACTACAGGGAACATTTAACATCCACTGTGGGGTTCACAGGCAATCTTTGTCTGAATAAAGTTATCCATTGCACAAGGTTGAGACAATAGATGCATTATTCTAAAGGCCAATCAAGTTGTGCATGTTCAGTCTCATCAGTTTGCTAAAGTTGTCCAGTCCCCCCACAAGGCTGCCATCATCTGTTGTGTGCTGACAGCGAAGGGTAACAGGGGTTGGCCTCCACACTTGCACCACAGCTGTGATTGACTGCTTGGCCAACAATAGCTACAAAATTGAATTAGCCAGAACCACAAGCATCTGTTTCTTGCATTATGACTTTGAACTACGGTGGGCTGACTGCCTCTTTATGCAATTAGGCACATGTACTGGTGTTACTATGGGACCCTCCTCCTTCACTGCTGGAATGCAAGGATCATGCACATCTACTCAAGTCAATGCAGACATGGGTTGGAGCTCTGCATCAATAAAAGTACCAGGATCCTACTGTGAGCCACCTGCAGCACTGGTGGGTGGAGTTACCCCTGTCAGGCACTTTTACAGCTTTACGTTCAGTATAAAAACTAACAGTAGCTGCTCATAAATGTCAGTGGCATTAGCTCCTGGTCTTACTTTATTAAAAGCAGCGCAGAGGGAAGAGTTAGTTTTCTTTTAAATAGCCCCAGAACAACCACGAGATCTTCTGGCGACAGATTTTGACACAGAGGTTTCTCCCAGTATAGACTGTCACAAGTGTCTCTTGACTTGAGAAGGGTTAGATTGGGGCTGGGGGAAGGGCAGCGTAGGTTCCTATGTCTACAACGTCAGAGGGGTTTCTGTCATTGGTGTGGATTTCTTTCTGTCTCTGACACAGGAAAATGGGCGATAATGTTTTTACCTGTATGTGTGGGTTTGTTAAACCACTGGATGAATTTTAATGAAACACAGAAAGTAACTATTGGATACACATCTACTGTACATCTTACTAAATGTTAGAGTCAAGCCAATTCAAGATGGCCACCACAGCTAATCAGCCTTAGAAAACACACAGATGGTTACACCACAGTGAGTTTACAGATATTGAGCTAATATTTGGTGTGGTAGTAGCTGACAGTAATCCTTAATGGTTACTCTGAGCACTACGGCTGAACAATTAATTGCATTTGCGTTAATATCGCGATATGATAAATTGAGATTTTCTCATTGCAAAGGCTGCGGTTTGACTGGTCACATGATCTGGTTACGTGACTTGCAAGTGAGTGGGAGAAGTCAACACTGCGTTTTAACCAGTTGCACAATGGCGTCAGGCTCGACAGAAGCCGATACGTCTGAAAGTTTGGTTCCAAAGAGGGGCAGCACGTTGTTTGAATTATTTTGTCTATAAAAAAGAAGACGCTGCACAACAACATGTATCGTGCAGAACCTGCCTTGCTGCTGTTGCTACCTCTCGAGGTAACACCATGAATCTTTATCAACACTTAAAAAAAACCCCACCTAAAAACATTTACGATGGTTGCATGGCTAGAACGCCAACAATCAGTGCTTCAACTTCAAGTAGACAAAGTACCAGCCAACAGGGATCACTGACCGAACTGTTCGATGGTATTACTCCGTATGAACATAATTCAAAATGGCACGTAGAAATAACTCGAGCAATAACAGAGTTCATAGCGAAACACATGATACCCATTAATATACGGTAGTGACCAAGCCTGGGTTTACAGCTTTGATAAACAGTGGATAAGTGGTACAGAATGACCTCATGCACACGTTAGCCAAGTTGCTATCCTGGAGCTACACAAAAAAATACAGAAACAGAGTTGCAGCGGAGCTGAAAACAGTGCAGTTTTTACAACTGAAACAGATTTATTGCTTGTTTGTTGAAAAATACATGAGAAGAAGACACAGAAAAATAATCACATATTAAATCGCAATCACAATATTGAGGTAAAAAAAAAAATCACAATTAGAATATTTTCCAAAATCGTTCAGCCCTGCTGAACACAACGTTTCATGACATATTTGCTTTAAACTTTGGCATTAACTCTTGGTGTCAACCCTGTTTGTCTGATATCTCAAATATCTCATTCAGCACATTTTTAGGGATGCACCAATGCCTTTTTTTTTTCAAATCAAGTACAAGTACTTATGTATGAGTAATTGTCAGATACAGAGTACCAAATTTTCATCAGTTACTTTGAAAATGTGTTTAAAAATCAGAGGAGCTTACTTTTCATGTTAGCTCTCCAAACAAAGCAGAACAACAATATTCTTCTCAAAAAGCACGTTTGAGTGAGCGGTAAGATTGTCGAGAAGCTCAGGACCATAAGTTCCCAGAGTTCTCTTCTGCTCGACCCACCTTTTTACAGTCACTAATGTGCATACACAAAATCTGTCTGTCATGCTTTAACTGGGTCGTAGCTATTTCTGGACAAATGGCTGTTCTGGCTATTTCTATTTTGTTTGTTCCTTACACCTCCTTTTTATTTATGTTTATATACAAATGTATTTATAAAGTAGTTTTATTAGTATTTTATGTTGTGATAGCACCATGCAAATGCTTCTGGGTATTGGAATGACTGCAGAGCATAGCTGAAATATATGTACCAGTAGATATGAAAATCGTATTTCAACAAATCGGAATTAGGCATGAAACTATCTAGACCACAATGCACTGCAAATTACTGACTTTGAACAAGTGCATTAGTAATGGTAAAAAGGTCAGTGAGAGTCTGTAGCTGTTTCTTGTTGCTGTTATCAAACTCTTGGAACTCAGCATCTCAAATTATCTGTTAAAAGTGCTAGTAAGCGCTCCTCTTGACAACTTTGCTGAGCATAATTTGGTGTCTGCTATACTTCTGTCATCCTTGTTTACTCTGAAATACCTCCGCTTGGATTCTTCTTCTGGCGGTGTTTACTTGTAACTTGTGGTTAGCTAACAACTTTATAGACCATTATTGCCACCAATTGGTAAGGAGAGTGGATCAGGACAGCCAACTCAAAAAAAAACCTCACACGGCTAACATTGCTCCCCCTCCACCACCTGACAGCTCTACTGTGAGGAGAATGCCTTGCTGCTGTACAGTGATAACAATACTGTGGTACTGGAACACACTTATGAGTACAAGTACATGCACAATATCGGACAGATTCTGGATTGCGGTATTGGTGTATTCCTACAACTTTAACGAAGCTCTCCAAAAGTAATAATTGGATTTTTTTTTTCTCTTTTGGTTGCTCCCTTCTTCAGGGGTTGCCACAGTGAAGTAAGTCGAACGAAGACTTGGTGATTGTTTTTACACCAGATGTCCTTCCTGACGCAACCACAGACCACCGAGCTACCACAGCCCTCTGTGTGGAGCAGAGAGCTGCTAGCTAGTGTGCTCCAAAAGTAATTATTGGATTCCATCTACACTTTTGGAGTCAGTTCATATCAAAATGGCCACCACAGCTAACTAGCCATAGCCAGAGCAAAAAGGGCTTTACCTCAGTCAATATTACAAATATGAAGGTAACATTTAACATGACAGTAGCCGAGTATCATTCATTACACTGAGCTAACAGATTTTGCAAGACGTCACAATATTGTGTGAAAAAGTGCATAAAATCATTTTTAAGGTTTGACCAGAACAGCTCAAACTCTATTATTTCTCAACATCAAGAGACCCCAAGAGACTTCTTAAATCAATTCAATTCAATTCAATTCAATTCAGTTTATTTATATGGTGCCAAATCACAACAAAGTTGTCTCAGGGCACTTTACAGAAACATTCACATACATAAAAGCCAATTAGTAAGGTTCTCTATCTAAGGAATCCAGCAGACAAGTTGAATCTTGGCTTTGTTGCAGTTTCCCATCCTGAGCAAGCACAGTGGCAACAGTGGAAAGGAAAAACTCCCTTTTAACAGGAAGAAACCTCCAGCAGAACCAGACTCAGGACAAGCGGCCATCTG